TACAGGAGGAAACAGGAGAAGCAAAAAAGGGCATCACAGATCAGTCTGCTACCTCGAAGAATTTCACGTGCTTGAGTAAGCCCGTGAGCTCATGCCTATAGAGAGGTTACCTCCCTGGGTGGATGACTCATGCAGGATTATCATCAATGAGATGACAATGACAAAATCCAACATGATACCACAAGAAATGAGGCACATGTATCTTGAGGAAATTTATAAAGAAGCTGGAGATGAACTAGATTAAACCTACACTGATGGGTCATCTAACCCTGTCAATGGCAGGGCTGGTGCAATATACACTGTAATTAGTAATACTGTAATGCCTTTCAACGCAGAAATGAAGAAAATGCACGTATTGAGAACTATGCCTCTTCAACGCAAGCGGAGCTAACTGCCATTGTTATGGCATTAAGATTCCTTGAACGAAACACTAATGGTGCAGTGATCTGTACTGATTCAAAAACAGCACTACAAAGCCTAAGTAAAAGTCGGGCAGAAAATCTTGCGATAGTCGCTGAAATTACGAGAGCTGTAAGGGTACTAACAAACCAGGGAAGAGTCGTCGATCTGTGTTCTGTGGATCCCCTCCCATGTTGGAATATGTGGAAATGAACGAGCAGATATGCTGGCTGCTGAAGGTGTCCATATTGAATACTTCATACCCAAGACTTCTATAGCATAAATCAGTGACTCTGTACGATGGTACAACATGGTTGCAGCTGGCAATCCCAATCATTATGGACAAAGAGGAGGTGGCCACGGGAGAGAAACAGTAATAGCAAGAGTCCGTCTTGGATACAAATTACAGTATCCATGGAGATTCGGAAAGAAAACAACAGTTGAGCAGCGGAGTTGCAGAATCTGTGATGAGATTGACAGACACCGTCTTTACCATTATCTACGTGAATGTGAACACCTGAGAGACATTAGAAATATGTGAAGAATAGTAAACCCCACATTGTTTGAGTTAGGAAAACACTATTTGTCAAATATTGATACTGTTCTTAAAAGATTTCCCCATTTTGCGCCCGCAAGATAATGTAAGATGTTAAGGGTTGACAGATGTTAATCTTCTTGTTTGAGAAGCTGTTCATTTGAGACAGTTAAGTCCCAGCTGTGTCTGGGTACAAGTGACAGGATGAACAACCCAGCGGGTTTTCTTCCTATTGGGGAGTGTTGTACATACTGTTTTAGCGGTGTGTCCCCTCACAGGATGAGTGGTGCTGCCCAATAAACTCGCCCCTTGGGGGAAAATTAAAAAAATAAAAAATTACACTATTAATAAGTCACCCTTCAAAATACAGCTGACGCCATCTGTTGCGTCGACGTGGCACTCTCAATAGCCGAACAGCAGCCCATAAGGCGAGTTGTGCTGAAGTAAGAATTCCCGCGCTTGCATATCATTGGTAGAAATTCTCTGTTGATATTCACCACTACAGCCAATCATAGGAAGGTACCAGCTAAAGGCTCCACTCACTTAATAAATCATCTTTGTTCAGCACACCAGCTCTGCTTATGACATTCTGCTTCAACTTTAATCTACCTAAAAAGTGAAGTACAGTATTCATTATTTAAAACTGTTAATAAAGTGATGATTAAATATTGCAGGAAGTAACAGGTGTTATAGAAAAATGGCCTGGCTACCTAACTTGTGACATCATCAGTATACTTTGTGTTTATTATCTAGTGCATTACTCTTGTAGTCTTTCCTTGGGAAGGCACTTAAATGCAGATTGACGGAGTAATCATGGGGGTCCCTACTAGAAGTCCTCTTTGCTAACGTCTATACAAGAACACTAGAAGACACCATCTTCAAACTCACAGGGAAAACCTCGCATCTACTGCAGATACATCGATGATATATTCGTTTGTGTGAAAGACCTCCAGGAATCTACTTATCTGAAACTCAGTTGTTAACTTTACCCATGAGCTAGGCATCGATGGTGCACTCCCTTTTAGCCATTTTATGCAACACCTTTTATATCTCATACTGTACTTTTAATTGTCATATTAATATCGGTGTACTGAACGCTCCTGACGACGACAGTAAGAAGGCGGAACTTTTACAAATTCCTTCCTGTAATTGGCTGTTGCATGGAATGACAATGAATGTGCCATTTTCAATTAATGAAAATTAAGAGAAACTTAATTTTAATAAAAATTAATAAGAATTAAGAGAAATAAGAATTAAGAGAAACATTCATTGTAAGAAACTCTTTCAATGAATGAAATGCAAACTAAGAAATAAGTTCTTTTGCACAACAACCTCTTTGTTTTGTACCTGACAGAAATTTTCATCTAACTGAATATTGTAGTCCTACAAGAGGGCGGTGCATCACATCAGCGATGTTATTTGTGTGAGGCAACCCCCACTGATTTTTTTTTTCTTTTTTCTCTTTGCAGGGATATTCCTGCACTGGCCCTAAGCCTCTGGGTGGCCCACTAAGTGTTGCTTGTTTCTGTTTTACTTGGGCGGAGTATGAGTATTTATGACTCGTATGGTCGCTTCAGTAAGATTTTACCATATGTGTTTAACAACTTCTGCTCTGTTGAATCTAAGTTGAAATCTTAATGGGTTTGTAACTGTGCACTGTGTTAGATAATGTTCTGTCGGGCAGAACAGTGGTCTGTATTCTGTGGTATGTCGGGCATTTCTCCACAGTGCTGACATTTCCTCTCATCTTCCGGAACCTGTAAGCCTATTTCCCATGCACATGGGTATCCAAGCCTGATGCGATGTAAGTGTACTTCTGTTGCTCTACTGCTCCCTTTCACCAAACTAAGTGGTTCGTAGTTGGTTGAATTTTTGTACCAACCCGCAGATCCTGATGTTGCAACTGCTGTGTTGTGGTCACTGTACATCTTTTGCATTGCTCTGTTTCTAATTACTTTCCTAATCGGTGATAGACTCGGTGGTATGTAAATGTCTACATTTCTTCTCTTAGTTGAAAGTTTTGCAGCTTCGTCTGCAATGTCATTTCCAATTATTCCCACATGACTTGGCTTGTCGTTAGTGTTTGCATTAACGATATGACATTTGTGATCAGATGTTCTTCAGATCAGATCTGTTTATGTTGCAATGTTTCAATAGCAGTTCTCGAATCTGTATGTATGATAACATGCTGTCGGTGTTCAGCAAGAGCATGTTCCAAAGTCTTTTGAATGGCTAGCATCTCTGTTTGTAAAGTTGAACACCCATTTGAGTCTCCAACTATTTACAGAGTTTCCTGCTTTAACTGGATCTCTGGTTTCTTGTCCCTGCTGGTCTACTGATCCATCTGTGAAGTATGTGAAGCTGTCAGATGTCAAGTTTGCTTCTATATGCATCTGTGCAATATTACTTAGCAGATGAGGATTAGTCTGGTTCTTTTTTCCTTCAAGAGCCATAATCTTAAAGTCTGCTGGCAGCAATTCCCAAGGGGCTTGCATAACAAAGTCTGCATGTATTTCGTCGACACCCTTCTCAGTGATTGTGTTTGTTATATCGAAAGTATTGATAGTGTTTATCGCACAATGGGTCCACCTGTTGCTATTGGAGGCTCTTCTGTCCAGAGTTAGTGCTCCTGTGATTATATCTTTAAGTGAACTGATTCTAGGTCTAGTCAATATCTTGGTCAGCATGCACGCAGCAATCCCTTTTGCCCTTATTTCAATCGACGTTAGCTTGGTTTCTAGTCTTAGGTTCAGTATTTTAGTCCATCTGGGAGCTCCTGTTATGACTCACATTGCATCGTTTTGAATAACCTCAACATTTGCCCATTGATCAAGAGAAAGAATGAGTAAGGCAGGCGCTGCATAATCAACTAGGGAACAAACGGCGTGTATGTAAAACATTCTTAACACTTTGTGTCCTGCTCCTAGACGGGGCCCTGTGATTGCTCTCATTATATTCAGTCGTGATTTTGCTTTCTCCTTCAAGTATTGAATTTGCTTGTTGAATGTCATTTTAGAATCTATCCACACTCTGAGATATTGATATTGTGTAATCCACTGAAGGTCAATGTCTTGAATGCGTAGGTGTGTACACCAGTTGATTGACAGTTGAGAGGCGGGACCAAAGACCCAAAGCTCAACGCCTGCAAGCACAACTAGGTGAGTAAACACACACACATGCACAAGAAGCAGCCCTAAGCAGCTGTCTAACTCCCAGGTACCTATATACTGCTAAGTGAACAGAGGCATCTGGGTGAAAGAAACTCTGCCCATTTGTTTCCGCCATCACTGGGGATCGAACCCCGGTCCCTAGGATTATGAGTACCGAGCGCTTTCCACTCAGCCGTCAGCCCCCCTCCCCATTTGGAGACAGGCGTGTGGGTTCTGACTTTATTTTTATTATTAATATTACATGTTAGGCGTTTACCCTAAATACATATTATTATATATGTATAACTATCACACCGTCAATATAATAGGAGTCTATCTAAAAACTGGTCACAGTCTAGCATTTTGTGCGTTCGATCATGTTTGTGGGTTTTCAGATGGCCCGAGGCAAAAACATAAAATAGACATTTTTTTTTAGCCAAAGGTGTGATGTGTAAAACATTTAGTACTTAAAATTAAGAAGAAGTGAGCTAATAAAATGAGAACGTTCAGGGAAAATAACAAAAGAATGCTAGAAGAGCGACACTTTAGGATGGCAGACATAGACTATTACAATATGGAGTCAGTAGTTGTAGCAATGGTACAGTAGTTTATTTACATCAACTAGATGAACTTAAAGCTAGGGTTTTATCTACACTTTATAATCTTTCATATAGAATAGGGTAGCAGCACATTGCTGTGTATACCTAAACTTATTTGCCCGAAACGCATTGCGTAATAGTGGCTTTAGGCATTGTATGTACTAGCTCTATCTATATATCAATCCATTAATGTAACATCACTTGTATGTATGTACCTTACCTGAATAAACATATTTATTTATTTATTTATTTATTACTTAACACAAAACGAAAATGCCTTTTCATTGAAACAAAATTGTTTAAATATTTGTTCAGCCAGCGGTATAAAATATACTTTAAACTTTATTAATGTTTATTATGGATTAGATTAGGTTTGAAAATTCATAGTGTAACCATATTTTATATATTGTATACGAAGCGACCCTCGAGGAAAGTAAATATCGATAGGCTCGTAGTGAGAGTGTTTACACTGGTCTGAGGCACTCGTGCGAGAACGTCCTTTCGTGCATCTTGCTCCGGTCACAGGCTTATTAAAGCGTAGTTATCATGGCAGACGCACAGGCGAGCAACGACGCAGCAGAGGAAGACGCAACTGAACTCCAGTTCCCAAAAGGTATTTGGCTTGGGGAGGGACGGCGTTTCGTTTTATTATTACCTTCCTACATAGGTAGTGTGTGTTTGGTCTTTACCGACACGAATTTATTCGACGAAGCTCGTAACAACCATATTTATTGTTATGCTAGGCTGCCTGGGTAACAGCTTCTCCTCCATATCAACCTACCCTGGTTTTGCGCCCTAGTGAGGCCACTCCAGAGCACAACACCATAGTCTCCTGAGACTGATGGATGCCTACAACTAGGCTGTATTAGCTTCACGTTCATTACAAACATTTACCACTTATGGGGTATTCATGCTCGTGCCACTTCTTGGGTGGCTTAATTTTCATCAATCAGTGTATTAGCTTGGGTTAGGCTGTATTGGGCTCGGTTAGCTTGGTTTGGGTTATGTTAGGTTTGGTTGGGTTGAGCTAGGTTAGGTAGGTTTTAAAATTTGTCTGCAAATCGTCTTGTGTACGATGTTACTTGTATCCCAGGTGGGTACAGGTGAATTTTGGACTTCTGTTAGCAGGTTTAGAACTTTCCATTTACATAGCTCAATTTTAAGCCTTACCTAACTACCTTAGAGTTCATCCAGCCAATCTGTCTACAAATTGGCGAGTGTGTAACCACTGCACAGAAGTTAATAGTTGCGATACCATAGCCTTCTCGTGTCACTTTCGTCATTTTCTTTAATCTATAATACACCATATTCAACACTACTAATGCCATGTTCACTATACTCTTCCTGTTGTAAATGTGGCTAACTGCCTTGATATTACCTGTAGGTGCTACTAAAGATGCTTCAAACTCTTCATGCTAATATTTCCTATAATGGCTTCCCATGAACAAATCCACAAGGGCCGTGACGAGGATTTGAACCTGTGTCAGAGAGCATCCCAGACGCTGCCTTAATCGACTGAGCTACAACATGGTCAAAAGAAGTTGAAACTGAAGTTCTACTGAACTTACTGGATCCTGCAGCCTTTCCGAGGCACAAACCAGGGTTTTACACAACTCCCCCCCCCCCCCCCCATGCATTCGAGCTATGTCAACAGGCCGTTCTCCCTCTTTGCCCTTACTTCACTACACACACAAATAAGAATTGTGTGATGTATCAAATGAACAAATCCACAAGGGCCGTGACGAGGATTCGAACCTGTGTCTGAGAGCATCCCAGACGCTGCCTTAATTGAATGAGCTATGGCATGGTCAATCGATTAATAGCTCAGTCGATTAAGGCAGCGTCTGGGATGCTTTCGAATGCAGGTTCAAATCCTCGTCACGGCCCTTGGGGATTTGTTCATTTGATGCATCACGCAATTGTGATTTCTGTGTGTAATGGCTTCCCATTTTTTTGGAGACAGGAAGCCTGTTTTGCCAAAGTCCACTTTGCCAATAATATAGTTCTTTGCACTAATACCCAACCAGTTGCTTGTGATGCTTAAGTGTTTAAAAGATTGATGATGATGTGAACATCATCCACTGTGTTGGACTATTTAGTGTTTAATCTACAGGGTATTAATAATTAATTGGGTATCTGATGAGAAATTTGAAATGGTGTCATCTGGTAAGTGTCAGGTTTCCAGTTAATTTGCATCTTCACATCATTGGTGCATCATCATTATGGTTTATAGGTAACTTGACATGCTTGACACTTGCATTTTGAGCAAGAAGGTGCCATGCCACCCCAAGGTGCGCCTGGCATTCCACGGGAGTGCGTGGTAATACTGAAAAGGTTATACTTTTTTTTTCAACTTTGTCATCTCAATTCTCATCCTAGGTTTTTCAATTTGGTATCAATATGTTTGCAATAGAATTCTCTACAGGACTAAAAGCATATAAAGTCCAAAAGCCCAGCATACCATCCGCAACAGAGAAAGTGAGAGCGTGTTACCAGGGAGCATGCAAGAGCAATAAAATGTGTACACTCTTTTTCTCTTTGGTTACGTCAATTCTCGTCCTAGGTCTTTCATTTCATATCATTGTGTTCGCAATAGAATTCCCTATAGGTGTATATGCATATATAAAGTCCAAAAGCTCTGCGTACTGCCCACATCAAACAGAGAAAGTGACAGCATGTTACCCCCGTGAGCGCTCATCAAGCGCAATTAAATGTGTATACTCTTTTCAACTTTGTTACCTCAATTCTCGTCCTAGGTCTTTAATTTTGGTATTAATGTATTCGCAATGAAATTCCCTATAGGGGTACGTATATGCACATAATGGCCAAAACCATGGCACGCCCCTCCCGCAGCCAAGTGCAAAAGCAGGTCAAATTTTTAAATTTTCAACTCCATACTGCGTCGTTAATGATCGAAAGTGTTAAATCTTTACACACCCACTCACTGCACAATTTTTCTCATGGTATACAGTACTATTTGTACAAGTATACTGGATAATCACAATTAAAAACCAAATAATCTAACCATAATGTGATTGTGTTTAGCATTTTTGTCTTTTTATTTTACTATACTGTACTGTGTATCGGTGCTTATTTTGACTGTACTTGAATTTATGGGAATTTACCTGAGGACCATTCTCTCTAGTGGCCATGACGAGGACAGGAAGCTGGCAACTTGATGACGGTCCCACAATTTGTCCTGATGATTTTATCTAACTGGATTTTGAAATTCAAGAGCTGTTTTTGCATTAACAGCTTCAGCAGGTAGACTGTTCCATAAGTTTGTAACTTTATAGGTGGAAAAAGCATCTCCTGTTTTCCGTCCTTCATTGTGGCTTATTGAGCTTGAAACGTTGTTCATGTTCATAAATCACTTAACAAATGTAAAGTGAGTCGATCAAAGTAGGACAGTACAGTGAGCTGGCCAAAAGTAGTGCAGTGTTCATTTATAATGGCTTATAAGTGCGACAAGTTAACCTGATCGACATACACTGCTCCATTCTACTTCAGTTTGCAAAGCCAGTGGTTCATCCTGCAGTTGAACCACTGTAGGATTCATTCTATTCTTTTTCAACATTTTACATGCAGTGTTCAATGCTTCCTTCAAAACTTCATTGTATATTTATTGCTGTGTTTTACTTGCAATGAAGAACAGTGCACAATAATACTTTGTTGACCAAACCACACACTAGAAAGTGAAGGGACGACGACGTTTCAGTCCATCCTGGACCATTCTCAAGTCAATTGTGATGAGGAAATGTTTAAGATTTAGCTTCTAGGAACTAAAAGTTCCAAGTAGCACGGGCTATAGTGAGCCTGAACATGAGAACATAAGTATAAAGGTAACTGCAGAAGGCCTATTGGCCCATATGAGGCAGCTACTATTTATACCAACCCAATAAGAATAGTAATAAGGATAGTAATAAGCAAGGGATCGTAAGAGAAAACAAGGGAAAGAAATAAGGAAAGAAAATGGAAGGGTAAGCATATGTTAGGTCATGTTAGAAAGTTTAGAGCATTTGAGTATATACTGTGAAAGGGAAGAGTCAGCAGCAACAAAGCCAGGACTCGAGTTCATGTTGGGTACGTTGTGTATTAGAGCCGATTCAACAAAACGGCATCTGTGTAGAGTAGAGGCAGGAAAGATTATTTTGGAGGAAGACCAATCAATAGGATGATTAGAATCCCTAACATGACAGAAGAGAGCATTGTTTGTGTCTGAAGACTTAACACTTCTTTTGTGTTCTTTAAGTCTGTCATTAAGTCTACGGCCAGTTTTGCCAAAGTATTGGAGAGGACAAGACGAACAGGAAATAGAGTAGACACCAGCAACATTAGAAGCAGGAGGAGCAGTGTGAACTAGATTGCTACGAAGTGTGTTAGTTTGTCGAAAGGTGAGCTTTATGTCAAGAGGACGAAATGTATTGGTAAAAGTTTTAAGTTCAGATATGAAGGGAAGGCAGAGCACAGTGCTACTAGTGTTGGAAGCAGGTTTAGGATGAAAGTTCAAGTTCAAGTATTGAGACAAGAAAAAAATACATCTCAAAGGGATAGAGTAACTTAGGCTATTTCTACCCCCCATAATTTTGTTTAGCTTGAGAATAGGCACAGTTGATAAAATGCAAAGGGTAACCAAGGTAAAAGAATGATTTGTTGATAAAGGCGATTTCAGAATCGAGAAGACCACAAGTTTATTTTGTAAAAGAACGTAAGAAGTTGTTTGAAGATTCATAGATGGACGAAATAATGCTGTAGTGCTGTGGCTAGCACTGTGAATATATTGAATAGCATTGATTCACTGATACAGTGGCACCTCGATTAACGAGTTTAATCTGTTCTGGCACCGAACTCGTGTGGAAAACTCGTCTTGCGAAACAACAACAAAACTGTCGTAAAAGGTGTCCGAGAACCAGCGGAAACGCTCGTTAACCGAGGAAAAGCTCATTAGTAGAGACAAATGTTCTGTGAGGGGCTCACTCGTTACTCGAAATGTTCATGGATAAAGCCGCTTGTTAATCAAGGTGCCACTGTATTTGAACGTTATACACAGCCATTATCACACTCGGTCTTCTGTAATACTATCATGGCTAAATAATACCAGTTACATGTTGTGGTCAGAAGCTGAACAGCAGTGCTTTCAGCTCATGCTGCGTGCATCAGCCTTGGTTGCTCCTTGGTACTGAGGCTCTCACACTCTCTTCAAGTTCACTCAGGAATGTTGCCCATGATTTAAAAAAGAAAAGAAGACATCTGTTTACAAGAGCCCTGAGGAAGCTGATGTGAACCCCATGTAGCCACGGGAGTTTTGAATCATACGCTATACCTATAAGATCCCTGAGGCGCGTTGAGCACCACCTGTAGAGCGCCTACAGGCGCATTGCCCAGTGCAGTGGATATTCTTAGTTATTGTTAACCCTTATATTCTTCTGAATATAAGTCATCACTCTCTGTTCGTAAATATCTACAAGAAGCATTAGTTAATTTGATAATACTTGAAGGTAAGCATGATGTTGCATAAGAAATTGCAATTTTTTTTATTTGGGATGAGGCTATTGGTGTCTCCTCCATGATAGGTATGGCAGAGCAAACCCAGAGAGAGTTTGCTGCGAGGATCCCGGTGCATTATAAGAGCAGTGCCAGCCGTGACGTGATTGGTTGGTGGCGGGGGCTTGGCAAGGTTGGTCCATGCCATTGTGCCCCAGGTGTGACGTTGCATGACGTCAGACATGCAGGGAAGCATAAAAACTGAGCTTGCTGGCTACTGGGGCATCGAGTTGAGTGGAAGTGTGCTCGTGTGCTCACCCTTTTGAGATACGTTTAGTCCTCTAGAGGGATGTAATTCGGACAGCAGACATGCACGAGGAGGAAGACCTGTCGACTCCACGGGAGTAGTGTAGCAGAGCTTATTGGTGTGAAGACGGCACCAGGAATTTGGTGACGGCAGGGGTCCTTGGAGTAACTTGTTTACGTGGTGCTGGGGAGAGTTTTGGACATTTCCTGCAGACTGCGTACGTTGGAAGCTGTGTGGAGACGAGCCGAATTCTGTAGCAGTTTTGGTCTTCAAAAAATCGTCCATCGTTTGGTCATGCAACAAGACTGTGGTGAGGCAGAGGACCAGTAAATAAAGTGTTGGTCGGGACAAGCCAATCAATAGCTGTCTAGACCTGTCATTGGGTGGGGAACAACTGGTGAGGTGCGGAGCCTGACAAGGAATGAGAGGATCGTTGGCCCGTCGTGTATCTATAAGGAGCAATCCGACACCGAATCTTCAAGCTACCGCTACAGTACATTCTATGAGGAGCTACTCGGTGCAGGATCTACAAGCTGCAATAATGTTAAATCGGGTAGATACATTTGGCCCCTCCCATTTTCCCCTTTGGTTAGGAAATGTATTATAATAAATTACGGTAGTGTGTTTATTGAACATTTTGGTGGAGTAACTTTGGCATTGACAGCATTGTCATAAATATATGTATCAGTGATTATTGGCATGAGTTGAGGAGCAGTGATCAAGAGACTACAAAGTATTGAAGAGGCATCATAATATATTTTGTATGTACAGAGACATGTTTACCTGTATTTAAGAGACAGCCTCATAGGGATGATTGGGGTCCGACGGCCCTTGTAAATTATCTCAAAGTAAATCCATCAATTTTACGTATGTTTCCTTCCTCCACTTAATTTCTGGATTTGTTGTTGAGGGGGATACTGGGCACCATACCTTATTACTAGAGTGCTAGACTGGGAAATACAAATACCACTGAGTTTAGAGTAGTACTCGGATGTGATGCGAGGCGAGCTGAGTTGGCAATCTTGTTGAGGAAACTTTGTCGGGCAGCTCGGCCTGAGGAATTCTTGAGTTCCATCACCCAAGTAAGAGGATTAGGGAGTGGTCGAGCTATCTTGCTCCCTGCGGGGTGCAAGGCCGGGTTCGGTGGATGAACCCCTGCTCCGTGGGTCAACTGAGATGCATCCCCCAGTAGTAAACAGTGGAACCTAGTGACAAGGGAATGCCAAGCCCTGCAACATTATTTACTGTACCTGGAAAAAATGCATGGAAGTGGTGATAACTTGATAGTGTGTGGCAGTAGATAAGAAGTACATAGACACAGTGCTGCAACCCATTTGATATTATAGGTCACAGCAGAAATAGAAAACAATTAAGGGAAATGTTATCATGGCTGAATGGATAACTACCATGTGTTAATAATGAACAAATGATATGCGACAACCGTTGAAAATAAATTAAAATATTGTTAGCAAGGAAGGGTCAAGCACATCAATTGATGAAGATAAACTTTGCAATTGTGTGTGTCGACAAGAAATAATGGAGAATGAAAAATTACTAGAGGGCCACATGAAGCAGCTAGGCCAGTACCTGGAACTTAAACATTTCGGGCTTTCACACCTGGAACACGGAATGAATAATAAGAGCTTTTCTGTAAAAACAAGTGCTACAAACAAATATCCCACATGAAACATTGTCTTAGGAAGAAATAAGATTTTTGACTTGCTTCTACATAATGATGCCTGGTGGTTAGGTTTTGTCATGAGTGTGAATGCAACATTACAGGAGGTTTTGATAATTTTCCTATATCCCAATGGCTCATTCCTCATCATGCGTGTATCCTCGCCAGCCAGACGTATTGAACATTGTGATTGAACAATTCTCGCTAAAGTTGAACCACATGCTATATATACTTCAATGGGTGAATTTACATATAAACTGCTGTGGACACTCAAAGCTTAGAAGTGCTGCAGAGAAGGCACTGACTTGTTATGAGTGAAACTTTTCCTCAAAGTTGTGTATGACATTATATTTCATTCTCTGAGGCAGTAATTTCCATAACCATGTGCTAATGTATTTTATTGTGAATTGGAGGTATGCTACTTTCATTTTTTTTTTTTTTTATTATATAGACTGTACTCTTGTTCCCAAAGTTGTCCAAAAATTAAAATGCCTTTAACTGTACAGCATATTTTTTCCCAAAAATTTAAATGTCAAAATTTAAGGTCATGTCATCGTGAAATGAAAAAAAGTAATGTAAAACCATTTTTAATTAAAACAATGCTTCCTTAGCTTCAAAACATGCACATTATAAAGGTTCTGCCTCAGAAGCGAAGTTTTTAATTTTTTGGTTGCAAATTGCAAATTTTTTTAACTTTTTCACATTGGCAACCATGTTGTATGAATATTGTGCAACACTGAATGCTAAAATCTTCCATGTGCAAGTTATTTGATGTCCTCTATCATAACAAATTTCATGAAAATCTGAGATGATAGAGTTGAAAAGATGATTTGGCATGGAATGACCCTTAACTATTTGCATAGTGCACCATTGCATAGTGTAGGTGCATAGAATCTGTACACACACAGTTCTGTACTGCATATGACTGCTAAATAATTTTAATAAGTAAATGGGTTGTTTGTTAATAAAATGCTATGCTTGATTGTTAGCTGTTTACATATTTGTTTTGGTAACTGTTTGGTAAGCATCCAACATGATGATTGATCTCATAGGCATACCACTGGATAATGCTGTACTGTATATGTCTTCCGTTATTCCTGATCTTCCTGGAAGTCCTGCAGGCAAAACATTAAATAAACTGATATTTGTCTTCGGCATTTAAGTGTTAGTATCTCCCATGAAGATTGAATATGGAAAGATTGGAAGGTGTTATAAGTACTTGAGATAAAAAGTTAGCTCGTGCATCTTGTTCAATAGACATGTTAGAGTATTGAGCTATTTCTACAGTACTGTTATTGAAATTGCCACCTAAGGCTCACTTTGCTGTATTCCAGGTTTGGGTGCCTTGTTGGAAGCTGGTATGGAGAGGGGTGGGCTACTGGATCCAATTGCCGACCCTCCCATTAAATGCAAGCACTGTTATAGTGTTGCTAAGGAACCTTACATAAAGTGTGTGCAGTGTGAACAGTTGGACAACAGTTTAGATGTTGTTATATGCATGCCATGTTTTAGTAAAGGAGCAGAGTTTGGTATGCACAAAAATGATCATTCATACATGGTGGTCAGGACTGACTTTAGTCTTCTTGACTCGTGTTGGCAAGCTAAAGAGGAAATTATGCTGATAAATGCAATAAATGACTGTGGTATTGGAAACTGGCAGGATGTGAGCTACCACATACCAGGCAAGTCTGCAGAACAATGCAGAGCTCATTACACAAAATATTATATAGAAAATCCTCATCCAGAATTGCCACAAGTAATAAGAACAGAATCCACACACTCCGTCATTCCACAACCTGTTTCATACATAGGAAATGTAGATGATCCTCCCCGACCTCTCCCAGGAACATCTGTGTGTCGTGACATGGCTGGATATAATGCAGCTCGTGGAGACTTTGATGTTGAGTATGACAACATGGCTGAAGTAGATATACAAGATTTAGACTTCATGCTATTCGAAGAGGATAAAAAGCCTTCTCTAGGTTTTGAACTACAAGTTGCCCTGCTGGATATATACAGGAGGAGATTAGGAGAGAGGTATAAACGAAAGAAGCTCATCAGGGATCATGGTCTTATAGCAATGAGTAAATCGACTCTTTCTCTTGGTCGTTATCGACCATACTTGCCACAAAACTTTGCTGATGCTCTTCCAAGGTTTTTAAGTGTTGTTGGGTCAATGGAAAGTGACCTGCTTTTAGAGGGTTTGAAATGTGAAGCTGAATTAAAACGACAGATAAGTGACTTGATGGAGTACAGGTCTAATGGTATCTCAAAGCAAACAGGTATAATGACATATGAAACTTTGAAAAGAAAACGTGAGGCAAATCTTAAGGAAAGGCGAAATCTTGTAGTGTCAGAAAATGATGGAATAGATGTAAAGTGGAATGTTTTAAATAAAAATATTGTCAACATTGATGCAGCCATTGTGGGAGCTTCACGTAGAGTCAGCATACCACTAAACATCACTGGCAAACCAGGTTACGAGAACCTTAACGACACTGAGAAACAAATTGCTTCAGAGCTTCGCTTGGTGCCCGAAGATTTTCTGCGATTTAAATCTGCATTTATTGATGAGTGCCGGAAGTTAGATGGCTTAAGATTAGCACAGGCAAGAACACTAATTAAGATAGATGTAAATAAAATAAGAAAAATATTTGATTATTTACTGTCTGCTGGCCTCATCCATACTCCAAAAAAATAATAAATTGAATTAGTATTGGTTATCTTCACCAGCTATGGATTGGTTGTACAGTATTGGAAAACAGATTTTTTTTTTAGAGGAAAATGACATGTTTGAATAGACCTTATTGTGGATGATGACATTTAGGTCACAAGTTATAAATATTGAATGAAACATCAATACTAATAAAACACTGATTTTTTTCCTCCTGATAAATCCTTAAGTCTAACATTTGTGGTAATTTAGCATTCATGATGGCCACACAATAAAAACATCAGTAACATCATTTTCTACATTCTTGTTCTTGCAAGAGTGAATGTATTTGTCTTTACAAGGTAAAAATGTACAAAACTAGCCTGTACCTTACATCCTTACATAATGCATGTCTCTATCAACATCTTTATTTCATATTGTTTTCCTTGACCTATATTATATTGTTCTGAGATATGTATGTTTATCAACAAATACTGTACTATGATTGCATTGAAGAAGGTTCCAAAAGCTGATGTAAAATTTGTGTACACAAGCTAAATAGGTGTCACATTGACAGTCTAGTGCAGCGTTTCTCAACCTTGTACCCTTGAAATAATTCCTGGTTGTACTTTAAACACACATGGATTTAATTGTCAACTGAAAGAAGACTATTTCTGGCATTGCTCTTGATGCTGGTTAAATGAGGAAAAATTAAACACAAAAATACATTTGCATGCTGTTAGAATTAGCCTATCAGTATTTCTTGCGGAACCCCTAGTTACCTTGGGGAACCCCAATTAAGAAACTCTGGTCTAGTGCTTGAATATACTGTATAATCTTTTCATAACTTGGTATTAATATGACTGACAGTGTTCACATATCAGTTGTGCATGTAATGTCTTGGTTAATTGAAGTGCCAAAGAAGAATTTATAAAATTTTATTTGTAAATTTTTTTTTTTTTTTTTTTGCATGGGAGCATCATCGGCTCCCTGGAGCTATTGGGCCAATATGCGATCTTTAGACCAGAGCAATAGTCAATGGAGTTCTGCCTACCAGGGACCACTAGCCAACACGTAGCCCCCTTGGAGAGACGCAGAAAGAAATGGCCCTGGAAAATCTCCTTGTGGTTGGGGGTTAACTTATCTGCCATCAACCAGGGTTAGGCACCCAGAAAGGTGGGCATGGCAAAACAGACCCCACATGGTCAGAAAAATAAAACCGAAAGCCAAACGGGAAGGTAGAACGCCCTCAATTCCCAATGAAACAAGCAAACGTCACCCTATGCCGGCACATCACTTACTGCCGTCCCCAAGAAGGGAAGGGGGGAGCCGTGGACCCACTGCAGTGGCTACTAAACCCCAGTTCAGAGCCTTGGCATCAAAAGGAAAGCGAAACTGCCGACTGAAGGGAGGGAGGGTGACAGGGAGCCTTTTGGGCTCACCTAGAAAATGGTGTTCATTACATTCAATGCTGGTTTTCTGTGTAGAGCCCCGTCTGCTTCCTGGAGCTACATAACCAAGGATAAGTAAAAGAGGGACTTACCCGGGAGGTGGCAGCCAGACTAACCTCGACTTGAAAGCGAGGCAATGGGCTACAACCTCCAATCTAAAGTCACACATGAACGCCCAGGACCAGGAATGTTAGGTTCCCTATAACCAAAATGGGGGCATCTGGGTGGGCAACCAACCTTGTACGTTGCAGCAACCTAAACAGAGCATGCAGTGTGGATGCTGCCTGTACCCTAACAGTAATGTCATCAGAATAGCACTGGAGAAAAAAGCAGAGAACACGACTCGCAAGACTGGGTCAAGGGTGTCATTGACCCAACACGAAGCATGACGGGGGGAACAGTGGTCTCCGAGACAAAAGTACGCAGAAACCTTCAAACCTGCACGAGGCGGGCTGAAACTCGGAAAGCGCATCCATAGGTCCACCGAGCCCCAACAGGGTTTTCCAGGGCCCGTAGGCTGACTGCTACAGGAAGCCCGGGCAAGGTATTGCTAACCAGTTAGACCCAAAGTTAACAGGGGCGGATGATCACAACACTGTAAACCCTGTGATGTGTACAATCACGGGGGCCTAGCAGAGGGTCACCAGAATATCATAAGTGGACCTAAAGCCACTGCAGGCAGACCTCTACCAGGCACACAAAACAAAAAGTAAAAGAAAACCCCCACAAAAGTACAATGTCACCAGGAAAAACAGGAACCAGCTGCTGCTCTAGGTAGGCAAGCTGTGCAATACCTTAATGTCCCAACCAGCAACACCACCACTTCCTACCCAAGGCCAAACAAGGGCCACGAAAACTCCAGCTGGCCCCAAGGGCGGGGTAAAAACCGAGCAGCAAGAACCACCATGGAAACGGTTTCCAAATACACCAGGAAAGATAACCCTGACACACAAGGGTGGTACTCAGAGTACTTAGGGAAGGCTGCCCTAAGGGCATGCAGCACCAGTACACTCCAGGTACACTTGGTCACCACACCACGAAGGGAAACACTGCTTGAGACACTGAGGCCATAGATGACGACCGCCCCGGATTGCAATAGCCAACGAACTGGGGTCGAGTAGCCGACGAGGTGGGTCTGGGGCTTCTCCTCCCTGGGGGAAGGAGGGGGAACTGCATGGAAGAGTGACACGACGACGTAGGGTGATGTTTGCTTGTTTCCTTGGGAACTGAGGGAGTTGTATCTCTCTCTTCTGCTTTCAGTTGTATTTTTCTTACCATATGGGGTCTATTTTGTTATGCCTACCGTTCTCGGTGCCTAACCCTGGTCGATGGCAGATAAGGTTAACCCCCAACTACAAGGGGGTTTTCCAGGGCCATTGCTCTCTGCACCTCTCTGAGGGAGTTATGTTCTGGCTAGTGGAGTGTTCTGCCCCGGTAGGCAGAACTCCATTGACTATTGCTCTGGTCTAAAGATTGCATATTAGCCCGATAGCTCCAGGGAGCCTCTGGGACTCATCCAGAAAATGGCATTTTTATTAGTCTATGCTTTTTTTTTTTTTAATACCTGTTCAGTCCTATTATGTATGTAACAATGTATCAATACTTTTGTTACTTGTTCATGTAAATTTGTCAATACTGATGTAAATTTGTCAATACTGATGTAAATTTGTCAATACTGATGTATATTTATAAATTGTGTATAAAAAAGCTGTGTATAAATAAAAACATGTTAGATATTTTATCTTTTCTTTTGCATCAGCACCAGCATGTTATATTTATATTGCCTTGCCTTCTTAAGCATTTAAATTTGTCTTTATACCAAAAATTTGGAAAAATATGTGTGCAAGTATTCATGTACTATAAATTACATTACAATTACATTGTATCTGACTGATGCTTTACTACATTTTAGTAGTTGCAATTTTTGCTACTTTTTAATATTTTTCATTTCTAATATGTGAAAATGGAAGATGTTAACAAATTTTTTTTTTAAATATTACGTTGTTTTTAAAGTTTTCAATAATGCATTCCTAACTTTATACACTAGAACACATTGTAGGCTCTGAAACTTTCCATTTTCCTGTTTTACTGGAATTTCCCAGTGGATTGACTTAGTTATGCTTCAGATATTGCCACCTAATGGGAATATGAGGTGGTGGTGTGTGGAAGCATTTATCAAAGATTTCGATTACTGTAGAAGAGGGGAGCGAGTCCCCATTACACAGACACCCACCTACCCATCCATCCAGACAGCCTCCCAAGTTCCCGGTTTTTGGGTTTTGATGCACTGTATATACATCAATCAAAATTTCCACATGACCCACTAGTGTTAATGTGCTATGCTGCAACCCACACTGCTCCAGTCAGCAGTACTATGACCACTTTCATAAAGAGTTTAATCCTATTTACTCCCAAAGTTCTAATAGAGCAATGTATAACAGTAGTTTCATAAATATGTGTTAGCACTATTAGTGTCAGCGGCGGTGGACTGTTTGTGGGGTTTTCCTTGATTATCATCTCTAGCTATTGGTGTGTGTCTAAAAAAAAAAAATTTTTTATCTTCACAAAGTGGTCAAGAGGGGTGATGATAAGAGGGTGTTGGGGGATAGAAGTGTTTTGGGCGGATAGGCTGTGTTGTTGTCATGGGTGGGGATTGGGAGGATGCCCTGCATGATCTTCAGAGCAAGCCAGAATTATACAGCAAAGTTACTGATCATTTTACTCATAAGCCTTGACGAATTCCATTTAAAATGCCAAGTTAAAATAATGGTTTGTTAATATACATACTTCCTGTTTTATATATGGAAATAATTAATAACACAATTAGTAATATTTATACTTCAACTTTATCAAATATCTTAAGTGTCATAAGCTTACCCTAGCATTTTTTCATGACATGCCACTGCAATGTGCCTAATAATTAATGATACTGATATCTATATCTTTGGATCGGTTATTATAATATCAGTTAGCCCTGTGCTGTAGTATTAAGTGATCTGAGTCAACTAGTATTGATAAATACTTAAGAAATGTTCTTTTGGCAAAGTTGTAGTCACCTGGGGCCTCAACTACCCTGGTCCCTCACACTTCCACCTGATGTCACCAGCTCAGCACATGTTGCCTCTGTGGGGCCTACTTCTGTTTGGTCAGTGAAGGGAAGGGAACTATCAAGCGAAAGTGCCAAGCCATTACAACTATATAGCTCTTGGAAGGGATCAGGATAAGGATTTGGGATGGGGGCAGATGGAAGGAATGGTGTCCAACCACTTGGATGGTTGAGGATTGAACGCCGACCTGCATAAAGCAAGACCTCTGCTCTACCGTCCAGCCCAAGTGGTTGGGCAAACTAAATGGCAGTGGCCCAAAGCAGAATTAGTTTGCTCATATTTATGCTTAATGGCTGTGTTTGTCACCCACATTTCCTATGCCATAGCATTCCATTTTGCTCGTAACCATGGCCTGGGTTACCTTTCCTGGTTACCGTCTGGCTTGCTTCTCACTGTACCACGTCAGTGGTACAGTGAGAAGTACCACTTTCAGATCTCTCAGAGCAGAGAGTATCTGCTCTGAGGGATTGAGGGCTATTTTCTCTTCATGATGCCTCCTCGAGTCGCCTCGCTTCTGGGCAGTGCATGAGACTTGTTCTTGACATTGGGACCTCTTGATGGGGAAGAGTCTTTAAACTGGGTGCTTGTTCATGTTAAGACCTGTGTGTTAGGGGGCTTTAGCCAAGGAGTATACTTGAATAATATAGATTATTTTCCATGATAAATGGGTGCTTGCATTCTTTCTTGCCAAGTGATCTAGGTTGGGGTTCAGTGTCGTCTGTGCTGTGATATATTCTTGGCACTCAGCACCCCTGCCTGTCTGTGTGATGGTCTGGGTAGTTGGTGTCCCTCATCTCTGGGATGCTTCTTTGTCTTGCATGTGTAAATTGCCTGATCCTCTTGGTTTCACATTTAATTCTTTACATGTCACTGCAGATTGCAGTTTTTTGGATATGCTTCAGTGTTCTTAAAACCCCAGTGGCCATTCCTATTGCTTTAGCAATGTGGCTTGCTGGATCCAAGTCTCCTTTCACCTGCAGGTATATGCTGTTGGTCAGTACAGGATTACAGGTTTGGCTGAGTTACCTTCTCGGGAACTGCCCTTTGAACTGTGGGTACGTTGCAGATTATTTTTTGTGATGTAGGCTTTTACAGCCCCCCTGTCTACAGCAGGTGGTAAGGATACTGACCCTCTTGCTGTTTTCTTGAAGTTTCTAAGTGTCTGATCTTCAACACTTGTGCCTCATATCAACTGGGGAAGTGTGATATGAGGTAGGTTTCTCATTACGTGTTTTCTCGAATTTGTCACAATAAGAAGCCTTTGGAGATGACATAGTGGCACAATTCTTATTATTTTCTACAAAATGTCATGATAGGTGTGGGAACATTGACTTTAATTGTTTGTGCATGATGTTCTAAACAAAGCTGGGTTGGTATTCTGGTGCAGGTTGGGTGCACACATGGAGGTGGTCGGGCTGTGGATTGCTGATGGTAATGCGAGATTACAGTTGTGTGTTACATAGTATGCACAGCATTTTTTTTTTTTTTTTTTTTTTTTTTGAATGTCATGGTTTCCCATTGTTGGTAATGGCAAACCTGTTAGGCACATTGTGGTCTCCTTTGGTCAGCTATGGGCTTTTACCAGGACGTACCAGGGAGCCGGTTGGCCAAGCAGACAGCACGCTGGACTTGTGATCCTGTGGTCCCGGGTTCGATCCCGGGTGCCGGCGAGAAACAATGGGCAGAGTTTCTTTCACTTTATGCCCCTGTTACCTAGCAGTAAAATAGGTACCTGGGTGTTAGTCATCTGTCACAGGCTGCTTCCTGGGGGTTGAGGCCTGGTCGAGGACTGGGCCGCTGGGACACTAAAGCCCCCGAAATCATCTCAAGATAACCATCTCAAGATAACCATCTCAAGATAACGTAACTCACAACAGTTGCTTAACTCTTAGGTACCTGTTATTGTTAGGAAAACAAGAGGCATCAGGTGTAAGGAAATGCGTCCAAACTTCATGTAGTGGTGAAGAATCAAACCCAAGTCCATTTGGTTGTGAACAGACTGTTCTGCCCACTGTATTCTAGTAAAGATGGTTAGAGCACAAATTTAAAAAAATATAAAATAATGGTGAAAAATTCATTTTTACGACTTTGGATGTACGGTACATTAATGTGAAAGAAGTTATTTTGGAAGACTACTGATTACATACAGTAGTGGCAATTTGAAATTAAATATAGTACTGTTTTTTACATAACTGTCCATATTTGTATGAGAAATTCACAAACATTTTTAAAATTGCAGAATTTGAAAAAGCAGAGACCCTGCTAATCTCTGAAGTTCAAATGCTGCTGGAGCATCGTAAGCAGACTAATGAAAATGCAGAGGAAGAACAGGAATTAAATGAGGTACAAGTATAATCCATACACAGTTTGTAAAGCAACTTTTTATAATTACTGTATGACAAGTATCTGTGTTCATTTTCTGTTTTGACTGTACTCGCCAAGCTATGTTTGCAGAGATCATGCTGCAGCTCCTGGGCCTGCCTGCTGCTTATTTATTAATCATATGGTGTGATTCTTCCCAGACTCTCTTTTGGCTTTTCCTTATTTATATTTGTGTGTGCTCAGTATCCTCCACTTCTCCCCTGTGTGCATTCCACTTGCTACCAAAACTCCAGCCTTGCTCCAGGATTTCAGATGGATAGGATCATTCCATAAAGTATCCTGGAGGGCCAGGGATGTAAATCAAGGCTGATTTGAAACCATTTGCTATGAACATGGTCATTTGGATGGTTTGGCAAAGGATATGGGCATTACACAATGGAATCACAATAAGGTATGCATCTGGGGGCGACCTATGATGCTGGTTCGGTTCTGCAGTTCTGTTCCAAAGATTTTCTGGTATCAGCATTGATTCTTGAGAGGTTAAGGAACATGGTCTTCTTGTGAGTGTTTCTCTTCACTAGCAGGAAGATGGCACTAATCCAGAAGGAAACATCAAGGAAATCACTCTGGAACCCTTTACCAAAGCCTGACAAAACACCTTTAATTATACTTAGGCCCCATTATAGAGGATATAACGTGAAAAGCCCATCAAGGGCAATAGCTTGCCTTTTCCAGTGGATGGATCCTGCCAGACTGACCCAAGAGGAAACAGAACAATATTTGCACAAGAAAAGGCGTCACAGAATCGATTCTTACCTGGATTCACGGATCCCATCCCCCACTCCCATCCTTCCAAGAAAAGGGAGCATTTAACTAGAACACTTGGTTCAAATGATCGAAAGATGCTCAAGATTTGTTTAACACTCGCTGCACCTTCTTGTCTGGCTTTCAGAAATCTTTCCTAACAAGTGAAAGGATGTTAATAACCAAACAATCCAATTGGACTCTTTGAACTGACACAGTACTGCATGCTTGTAGGAAAGATATGTGATGAAGAATTCAGCAACCTAACTTAATCCCAAAGGCAGAGCTGCAGAGACTAATGACACAAAATCAAATACAGTGTAGATGGCCGACTCGGACAATAGCCGAGAGAAGAGCTCCCGACATAAGTCAAGCGAATGCTAAACTTAAAATCTGCGGTAACAAATTGTTGTGATTATTGTACAGGGAAATCCGGACGTAGATTTGTCAGTCGCCTAACTATGGTGAAAACAGCTGTTGCTGCTTTCACAAAAAACAAAGGA